TCGTGTTTTTTTTTTTTTGTTCATCAAAATTATGAGGTTTCTTAACTGATTTATACCTTGGATGCGGCAACGCTAAACAAAACCGCTGTCAGTCTCTGCTCAAGTTTAGCATACGGCAGTTTTACAAACCACATTTGTGTAATAGACCGTTCTTGGAGTTGCCGTGACAACACTGCACTGTTGTACACATGACAAAACATTTATTCAGACAGACCATTTAAACTCAGCCTTTTCCTTTCCTCTGTTTAAAACCCTGCTTTTTAAAACCCGGCTTGAACTTCTGACTTCTGGATTTGGAGGTCGAGTCATTTTTCTTTCCTAGAAATTTCTTCTTTCCGCCAAATTTATTATCCCGGTCACCGAATTTCTTTGTTCGGAACGCCTGTCCCTCGGGCTTTGTATTCTTTCCGTGCTGCCATTTCTTTCCCCCGAATGTCTTTCGTCCCTTTTCTGATTTGTCTCCTCGGCCAGATTTATTTGGAGACATGGCCCCTTTTCTTGGTTTGCTGTTGGAAAATTTCTGCTTCTTCAAAAGTCCATGTGGCTTTTCTGAGCTTTTCCTTTTCTTAGCAGCAGATGGTCGGGGGGAAAAAAAAAAAAAAAAAAAAAAAAAAAAAACTTGATAAGCTAACTTATCACAACAAAATCTAACTGTATGTAGAGCTGCTTTAAACACTAGTATTCTTTTTAGTTCACCTTCGTCTGGCTCTTCTCCTACAGCCTGTCTGTAGTACTCTGCTTCATCATCAGATTCAACAGCAGCTTTTTGACCATCCTGCAAACCAGGATCCTCCACCTCACTGTCCTCCTCTGCGTCAGAATTCAGTTTTCTCTTGATGCCCTGGAGACTCTTCTTCCTGTTGACACATGGGAACCACTGGTTAACAGTCAACTAGATTTATCGAGAACTGAAGTTCCTCCAAAAACTCCCCCCTAAACTCCAAAAAAAAAAAAAAAAAAAAAATCGCTCCAGAGTATAAGTTGCACCAGTGCACTCTAGCAGCTGTCAGTGTGGGGGGAAAACAAAAAAACAAACAAAAAAAAAACCCCCAGAGGTACAGTAGCCTAGAGCACCCTCTAGCGGCGGTCAGGGTGAAAATAACAAACGTGATATATATTTTAATATGCAAGTCACACCTGGGTATAAGTCAAAAAACCAGGCAAAGGATGAAAAAAAAAAAAAAAAAAGTGCAACTTAGTCCGGAAAATACGGTAGTTAAAATTATCATGTTAGCAAAGTAAAAAAAACCCAAGTGAAAAGACTTGAAAAGAAGAAAAACAGTGGGACATGTACCAAGAGAAAAAAAAAAAAAAAAAAAAAAAAAAAACTCACTTGTGCTCTTCTAGCTTTTCTTTTTTCTCAGCCACATTTTTCTCCTGCTTTTTCTTCCGTTGTTGCTTCTCCCTGATTTGGGCCTCCTTTCGTTCCAAGATCTCCTGGATTTCCTCCTCCGTTTTGGAGACTGCAAACACAAGAAGCAGACAAATTTCCACTGAGGATTCCACTGTTCCAGACTGATATGAAAGCGAGTCAACCTGACAGATGCATCAGTAAGCGTTTACCTTTAGAAGAGGAATCAGTAACAACAATTTCATACAGAGCTTGTCATCACGTACATCTGAAGACAAAGAGAGAGTGACAGACTGAACAGTGGACAGACTTACTGATGGAATGATAGAGAACGTTTCCTTCTCCCATGCCTTCTTGGATTTTTATAAGCTGTAGACTCATGCGTGGTCCAATCTGAGAGAGTTAAAGAAGAGATTGATCAGGCCTCAGTGACAATTGTGGTAGTGCTTCATTTCGACTTGTTTCGTTCTCACCTCCGTAAGACGGACAGCGCTCTGTTGGGAGGCCATGTTGCCTCTCCCAGCGTAAACCTGTGGCAACTCGGTGATGTTGTGGTCCCCGTCCTGTTCTGCTTCACTTTCCGAAAGGTTTGCGCCTCTAAAAGCAAAAAGGAGGAGGCGACAGGAGGTTTGACGCGTTGTCTATCAAAGACAGAATTCAGAAATATATATGTGAAAAAAAAAACCCTCACTTCATCAGGAGCTCACTGATGTCCTCAAACTTGCTCATGTTGGGGAACTTCTCCTGCATCAGCTTCTTGACTCCACGACTCATTCCGACAGGAACGACCTTCAGGCTGCTGCAGGGGGCGAAACCAGACGATAAAAATGATTAACTTGCGTTCACAGGGAGAGTCACAGTGTGGAGTTAGCGCATTTGGGTGCATCAGTGCGTTTACCTTGAACAAACATCACTGAACAGTCAGGTGTGAGAGTGTAATCATCTGAGCCCAACGACTTAAACATCAGTTTTTATTTTTTTATCTTGACGTGATATGAAGTTGTTTTTGCCTGGATTTATATCCATGGGTGAACAGTGTCCTTTATTCTCTGCTATATATATTATAGATCATTTTATAACTGGTTGTACTTACTAATGTCGGAATTCTATTTCTTGGGTATCCGGGTCGTAGTTCACCAGCACGCACCTCTTTATGTTGTTGAGGTTGACCTAAAAAAAAAAAACAAAAAAAAAAACCCCTGATGTTATAAAGTCAATTCACTCATTTACATACAGTTGACAATAAACCTTTGAGCTGTAAAAAAATGTCAGAAAGCGTTTACTTTTAATACATCTTCAGGTAAAATCAGAAGACTATACTTTCATCATGCACAGCTTTTTTTTTTTAAAAAAAGAAAAAAACCTAAGGATGAGTGAACTTACTTTATGCACGTTAATGGAAGGAAACATGTTCTGAAACATAGTGGCCATGAGTTTAATGTGCATCCCATCACAGCCAAAGTTGTTTAGTACAAGCAGCGGGTGGTGGGTGAACTGCTGCTCGTGCATCCTGTGCTTTTTCAAAGATGAAACCACATCTTTAATCAGGGAGTACTGAAAAGGAAAACCAAAAACAAAGATTTAATTAAAAAAAAAAAAATAAGGAAAAAGTTCTGATGACATGTCTGCAGTTCGGGCACATCAGTGCGTTTACTTTGAAAACATCACCAAACAGTCAGGATTTTAACTGTCATCATCTGCGCCATTGTTCAAAACAATCGTTTCAGTTTGCACGGTTTACCTTGAGCACTCTGAAATGAAGTGTGGGACCTTTGGGAAGTCGAGCAAGTCTCTGGAAGGACAAAAAAGAACCATGAAGAGCAAGTTAAAAGTTTGGACAAAAACAAATATATTTCAGTACAACAATCCCTTAAAATGACCAGATGCTTACATCAAGAAAAAAATAATCAGTTTATCTCACCATGTTAATGGTGTTGGACGTCTTGGTAAAGATCATGAAGTGTGTCACTCCCAGTGGTCCTGCGATGGCCACAAAGTCTTTAAGCACGTTCCTTTTTCTAACCTGAGGAGGTAAAAATAAAGCTTAAACATAGTTTTTCTGCTGTTTCAAAACATAATTAGTTGGACATTACATAAAAAAAAAAATCAAAATGGTGCATTTGAATGTCTCAATTAAGACAGCCAACTCTGGATCATTTTTAAAATCTTAAAATACAATAACGGTGCAGGTGATAGTGTTGAGTCTCATCAGCGCGTTTACTCTGAAAAATCACTGAACAATCAAATCAGGTTTCGTCATCACCTGAGACCAACAAGAGAATTAAGACAGGTTTGGAATTAGACATGGCGTGTCGAGAACCTCCCGTTTTGCTAGCTTCAATAATTATCCAGACCGTCTCCACAGCCAATGTTAATTACCTTTAAAGACTCTGCGGTGAAAGGCTCCATGACTCGCCGCACGTCCTGGATGAGCTGACCCACGTTTTTTCCTATCTGTCCCCGGTGAAAGACGAAGGAATGCGGCACGGCGGAGTAGTTTTGCTCAGCCACATGGTTGGCGGTGGCTCGAGATTTCTTCTGGTTTTTAGTCTAAAAGCACAAAAGTAACCGATTACAAGTCTCTTTAAAATAAACATGGTATGACCACAAGATAAAAAGGTATATAAATAAATATACAGTGTATTTATTATTATAATATTTCGACATTCAACACTACAGAAAATGGACCACGCAGTACCAAACACATTGCTTTTTTTCAACGTTAACCGACAACGCAACACATTAACTAAACCTTACCTTTGACTTTCCCATGATTCAAGACTTGCAGATTAACTTAACAAAATAAATTTAAATGTGCTTAAAGTCTTGCCGTATGTTGAAAACTAATACAACCATGTTGGTAGGAGACTCGACAAGAAACCAACACCACACCAACCACATGTGTTAGCGACTGCTTAAGTTAACAAGATCCGGGTCGAGCCACGGGCGTGCAAAAACTTCCTACTTCACCCGGAAGTACCACACAAATCTGCTGCCCTCAAGTGTTTAGAGGGAGAAACAACAAGCCGACGCTGCAATACGTAAACCAATTAACGCCTATCAATTTAAAGGTATTTTAGCCTTTTTAACTTCGCATCTGCCTTTTAAAACGTCTATCTTTTGAACTGCATTAATCCCTCGGTAGTTCCCTTCGGGAAATTAAGTACAATTTAAATAGTAATGCTCCGCGAAAAGAGTAAAGAAAAAGTAAGAAAAGTTAAAGTAGTTAAAAAAAATTGGTACAGAGCTACCCGAGGGCTGCCGCCGTTAGAGTGAGCGCCATTTTAAACAATATACAGCACAAGGTATTTTAGCCTTTTTAACTTCGCATCTGCCTTTTAAAACGTCTATCTTTTGAACTGCATTAATCCCTCGGTAGTTCCCTTCGGGAAATTAAGTACAATTTAAATAGTAATGCTCCGCGAAAAGAGTAAAGAAAAAGTAAGAAAAGTTAAAGTAGTTAAAAAAAATTGGTACAGAGCTACCCGAGGGCTGCCGCCGTTAGAGTGAGCGCCATTTTAAACAATATACAGCACTAAATGATATCTAATTTATCTCTGAAGAAAAAATAGATTTATTTGCAGTGATTTAAGATTTGAGATCCTAAATTATTTATTTCAATTATTGGTCGAGTTAGTGTGAATGTAATTAATATTTCAGAGCTTTTTTAGAGGTAGCACATTCAATTTTCTCTTGATATGAAGAGACAAATAGACATGTTCCATACAGTATTCATTTCCTATAAGAAAAATAAACGTGCATAGATAAATTAACAAAAAAATTCAAGTTAACATTAGCCTCTAATTATTTTACTATTGGTGGTGGTTCAGTATAAAGGATGCTTGCCTATCCTATTCACATTTCAAAATGATTTTGACCAGTTACTTACATTTTATCCCTAATTGATGTGTGATTGACACATTGCTTGAACTGTTACTTAAAGTAAATGTAATTTACCATGAGATTTACATGAAAAGTTCTGTTAAAACACACAAACAAAGGGGCAGCTATAGAGGTACCTCCGTTCTACAGGCACCATGTTGAGGGCCAAGGGAGGAGGGTCCTGAAATTCAAGCACAGAACATCAGACAAACAACATGGGAGGAGGAGCCTTTGGACAGTTAGTAATTAGTGCAGTCTCCTTCAGCCAGGTCTGTGGACAGGCTTGCTCCAGTTGGATGAGGAAGGCTGTAGTTTTTACTTCTCTATTTTATTTGACTGTAAAATGCTCTTTGGCCTTTATTTCGCATCAACAGGATCTCGATGATTTAACTACGAAGCAAAGGTGGCCATAAAATATGAGTTGGAACTGTGAGTAATAAATTAGTTTCATTAACACATTCAAGTTTAAAGCTGTGCGTGAACTTGGCAATTTTGTATTTTGCTCATTTGTCGTTTTTCTGATTTTTATTCTACAATTCTAACTTTTGTGCTAACTCTGCTACAGTTTTACTTTACTGGACTATTTCAGATTGACTGTTATTTGTGCTAACTCTGCTACAGTTTTACTGGACTATGTTAGATTGACTGTTGGCCTTGGTTTACTTGGTTATGTTTTGTTTTGGTTTGTTTGTTTTTTTACCTGCAATTTTTCATCTAATGAGGAGTTTTATTTATTCTAGACTAACTAAATTAATTTAATTTATTTTTTGCTATGTTTTAAATATATCTAGGCTACCTTGTTTTGCTAATTCTATGCTATGTATGATTAAAATTAGAAATTTTTTTTGTGTGTTAGGTACTTTCAGATAGATAAATAGAATTTTATTAATTTCTCGGGCGTTCCCGTCGGGAATAATAAAATGTAATAATCACTCAAATAAACAAATCTTTTGGTCGAAAAAATGGCAAGTTTATCATCTAGAAGATATTTTAAGTAAATTGTGTATCGAATGTGTTTTGGTCACATTAGCTAACGTTAAGTTATTCCTAGCTGTGTTTGAATTATTTTTTTTATTTATTTATTTTTAGCATACAATACAGAAACACCTTAAATTAGCATTCACTACATGGGAAAAGGCATGATTCGTTTTTTACTTCTAAACATCTAAAGATACAATTACATCTATATTTTCAATTTTGAATTAACAAATATGGATTTCTTCCTAGTTACCATTGGTATGTAGTATTTTTGTCAGTGCAAATGGACTAACAAAAATTATTGACAGTATATGGGCAGAATGGTAGCCATAGTTGTCAGTGCAAATGGACTAACAAAAATATAGTGTAGGCAGGTCCCATGTTTCTCACCTAACTTGCCATGATTGACCCATATAAATTGCCCTGTCCACTCCAGGTCCAATTTGTATAATTATTAAGCCCACGTGGATATTCAAGTCGGTTGTTGTTTTTTAAACGACATTACAGCCATTTGTCTGAGATGTCTGCATTGGCTTACGTATGTTTGTGTTTTGTGTTTTTATAGTGTTGACCATGGCTGTTGGTAGGATGTAGAGCTCACTCGTCATGTGGCGGTCTGTTGATTCTAGCTGAGCTGTGTTGACCGTTCGCCCATCACTATTGACCCGCTAATAAATTCCGAACCAAGCGGAGAGGTGTGCACACAGACTTGACCGAGAAACATCTGGTGAACAGGTAAACACACGCTGTTTACCTTTTACAAAAAAAACCCCCAAAAAACTTTAGTCCCAAAAATGGCCTTTTCTAAGACATCCACGTGTCACGAGTTGATTTGACGTCATCACATTTGTGTTTTTTCAGCTTCCTCTCCACCATGTCCAAGGTGTCCTTAGACCATTCCATGAAGACACTGACTCTTTTGTTGACACTTTGTGCGCACGTACAATTGGCCGGAGGAAGAAAGGACGCAGCCAATGGGGACAACAGCGGCCAGAAAGGCTCTTCGCGGTCCTCAGACACAAACCCGGGTCGTTGTTCTTACACCTTCATAGTTCCACAGCAGAAGCTGACAGGTGCCCTGTGTCTGAACACACACTCCGCCATTAACGCTGCTCATAACAACCACTCTGAGGTCGCAGAACTGAGGGCGGAGCTCCGGCGACACCAGGAACAGCTCGAGAAACTCCAGCACCAACTGGACCAGGAGGGGGCGCTGGCCGTTGAGGTGAAAGCTCTGCGCAAGGAGAGCAACAACATGAATCTTCGCATCACGCAGCTCTACGCTCAGCTGCTGAGTGAAGTCATAGCCAAGAAAGACCAGGCCTATGAGCAAAAAAGGGCGGAGAACCGCCTGCGGACCGCTTCGGCACAGG